ATCTCTTCCTTCTAGTTCATTTATATCATCAAATAAACATGAAAGAACAGAAGGAATGTTGTTTTAACCCTAACCCCAATCTAATAACTCTCCTGACTGCTTTGTTGGACAAAAATTGGTGGATTCGACAAATGATTGGTCAGATCGCCTGTCAATCAAACTCCCAGCGAAGGGTCAAACATTTTAATGGTTTCAGTTTTAATTTTAGTTAACGATATTTACGCACAGACACAACATGTGCAACAGCTCGATGTCAGACCCACCTGTCTATGCTGATGGCACAGAGGTTAAATATGGAGGCGGTGCAAAGCATCACGTCCATCGTCATCAGTCCATCACAAAGGGTCATATCAAGGGACCAAACTCCATCCTGGAACTGAGAGGAGAAAAAATCATCTGTCATTTACTCTTTACCTCATACATGCCATGTTTTCCTATCATTTCATTCCCATGGCTCTCTGACCTCTTTCACTTTACCCTAACCTCTTGTTCACAGCGGAGCGACTGTGCGAAACCCTTAATTTCCCTATTAACCGCTTGCCGTTGTCACAACACACACACACACCGCATGCTCAGGCTGATGGTAATTTAGAACCTGATGTGCATCATGCATTCTAAAAAAAAAAGAGATAAAACAGCAGAGAGGAGGATTTAATGGCATTTTAATTATTGGCCAGGAGATGAGGACAGATTCCTAATTGCTTTTTGGTAATGGCCTCTCTCCCATGCCAACGAGCAACGTTCCCCCTACAAGTGGAAGCCATGAGATCGTGGTGAGGGGACTCATGTAAAATTGTAATTAAGCCACGGCTGACTCACTGGAGCTTATTTTCTCCGTGTGCTTGTACTGAAGAGCCAGCCAAACAGTTGTTTGCTTTACTCCCGGTGACCTTGTCTCTGCTGTCTGGGGCCCTCCGAATCCAGTCTAGGGAACACGGTAACTAGCACGACCCCGAATGGCATGTCCGATCTGTAGTTATTTTGGAGGCCTCTTTAGTGGAAGCGCCTCGGACCTCGCATCCTGGGGTGACAGACAATGTGTGTTGTCTGATGTGTGTTCATGATGTCCGCTCTGGTAGAAACAGACAATCTCAGCAGCAGGGGGCCGTTGAAGGCCGGATGAATGCAAGTCTGCAAAGTTTTTCACGCAAGGGTAACAACTGATCATTGATGCTAAGTTCGTCTTGCGCTTTTATGGAACAGTGTCGGTTGATTAGATCGATAAATGTTAGATAAATGTCTATAGTCAATAGATGAAAGATTACTGTTATTGATAACCATTGTTGATGGGAAGTTACTACAGCTACTTTGCTACAAGAAAACCATTTTAGCTACAAGGTTCATACACACACTTAATTTTAAATTGAAAAAAATATATTGCATAAAAAAGCACGTATCGACTACTAAGTTTTACATTCACACACTTATATATATATATATATATATATATATATATATATACACACACATTTAATATTAAATGTTCAAATATAATAAATAAATATACCATGATATCAACTTATTTTAATTCAGCAATTCTTTATTCATTTTATTTATTTACATTTCTGACTTCATGAATTTGGTTTACAAGTACAGATGTTAAAACCAGCATGAAAGTGGGCAATACTTACACTGGGTTTTACCTGGTCATTTAAGGTGATCTCCAGGTAAACCAACTTAGCCAAGTTTTACAAACCTGTTTGTTTTCTGGTCACCTTGCAAATACACAATATCGTGATTACATTAATTAGGTAATGAATTATCTTAACTCACCTCTGTATACACGAACAGCGGTAATACCAGAACAGCCAGCAGCAAATCAGCAACAGCTAAGCTGACAATGAAGTAGTTAGTTGTGGTTTTCAGCGCTTTCTCCGTGTAAACGCTCAGACACACCAGCACGTTCCCACATATGATGATAATGATCAATAATACCCCGAATATGAGAGCTGGGAAGTTGTAGTTCGTGCTGTGGCTGGAGATGGTGAGGTTGGCTGGCATGTCTGCCTCTATAATAACCTGTCATCTGGGAATCCTTTGATAAAACTGACCGTTAAAACCCGTTTCTTCTTAGCCATTATTTGAGCGCTCCTGAAAACTTCGACCTGCGTCCCATTATTTTTTGTCTTTAAAGGAAAAAGGACGCTGAAAGCCCCGGTAAGCTCTAAGATCATCGCTGTTCATTCTTCGTTGTTTGACGCAAAAGTTTTCTGTCAGGAGCACAGCCCGAGCTCGCGCTATTTCCATCCACCTGCGCGCGCGACTTAAAGCGGCTTAGCGTCGCACTGTTAATATCTGAGGCGGTTCATTATAGTGACGCGAGGAGGTTATTGAAAACGCTTATCTTTATAATAGCTTCACTTGTTAAAGTTACTGAATAGGGCTGTAAATAAAGCCTCTCCGTCCCGCGTTTCACCGGTTGACCGTCCGGTGTCTCTCCGCTTTAGTTTGACCGGAGCGATCAACGGGAGTGATAATCTCGTCATCTGTGACGGGTGGGGTGTGACATTTCTCCCCAGTGGCTTATAAGGATGGAGGTTTAGGCCAAATCTTGCGTTCTTACAACACTAAATCACTTTATTACTTTTAGGCCAATGTGCATAGAGGTGGATTTATTTGACATAATTTCTACGAGCGTGTCGTTGCCTCTCGTAGCACAGTCAAACGCCAACTGTAATAAATAGCCTACTTTAAGTTTTGTGTTTCAAGTTTATATAAAACTCGTTTTGGTCTATCGTCTGGATACGATCCTATAAGCAAATAAGTGGTCGCGCTGTTAGTTGCTATCCTCAGTATTGAGCGTCAAGCCTGTGGAAAATGAACTCTCACAGTAGCGTTAATATGTATAGTCTATATGTGTGTAATTTGATGAAAATGTATAATACTAGTGTTATAGGCTACATATATAAAAAAATTATAAACGTGTTATGCTGATGACCAGTCTGGGAAAAAGGTCCATTGGTTCTGATTTGTTTTCAGTATATTTTTCTCTCCTTGTATAATCTTTTTTTTTTTTCTCAAGATTTTAAATTTAATTGTATATCATTGTTGTATGTATGAGGTTCCCCATGAAATCAAAATGTAAGTTTTTTAGCTTTTAGTATGAATATGTAAGCCTTATTGTTGTCTATAAGCTAGTGTGCTCCAAAACAATGACAAAATGTGCATTTAGTAGATCTAAGCATTTAAAAATTACAATCTCTCACTTTCGCCAACATGGATCAATGATTTTGATGACATCACTCTGCACTTCAGATTCTGTCCAATCAAATGCTCTCAAGAGAATCTCTTTCAAGGGGGTAATCCATTGAACAGAAGTTAAAGCCTGCGCGGGAGCTGCCATCTTGTAGCAGAACTTCACTTGCGTTAGCATTTCCATTGACTCCCATTCATTTTGGCGTCACTTTGACAGCGAATAACTTTACATCTGCGGCGTTTGAAGACCCCATTTGTCCATTATTTATTTCTAAAGAAACACGACAATGTATAAAATGCTCCATTACCTTGTAGCTTATGTTATGGCCCCGTAGAAGCAGTTTTTTGTAAAAGTAGGCTAACGATTGCGTCATAACCATTCGACTCTCTGTCGCACAGTAGAGAGATTACCGTATGGAGAGGAGGAGAAGCTCGCGCGCAATCGTGGAAACGTGGAGGCAAAATGACAAAATAATTAATCAGAATAGCAAAAGTTTCTCCTGCTCCTAGCTCATGGACAACTCCTACTTACACTCTCCGCGGGAATGATTCAGATTTCTCATGCCACAGCCACTAGAAGACAGACGGGTTTTTCACGTCACATCTACGTCGTCATGCTCTGTTTGAGTCGGTTTGAGTCTGTGCAGCAGGAACGGAAGTGATTAAAAAAATCGCTAGAAACGGGCTTCACTTGTCTCAATTGAGTTCCAATGAGATGGCTCTGTCCACTTCTGTCTATGATCTCCTTCCCCTAGATTACAAATAGACGTTGAAGCTGCGCTAAAATCAATCACTTGTTGTTCACACACTGTTTTCCACATGGTGAAAGGCACATATATGTGGGCTACTATATAGGGAACGATTCAGACAGTGGTAATATGCAAATGAAGTCTGGTTTCACATTAGTGTCACGCGAACCGCCGCAGCTCCACCACAAAACATATCAGACCCATTTGAATTATACACAAAATGCTGTATTTTAAAGCGATATGGAGGAGATTAGGAGGAGAAACGATAGAGATAGAGGAAACTGCGGCTTTATCAAGTTCAACAGCTCATGATATAAACAAAAAGCTATTGGCTATATTAAAAAGGGGAGGAACTGTTCAGTATGTCCCGCCCTGTCTTCCTTTTTCATTGGAAATTATGTCGACACATTAAATAATTTTGAGCGTTTTAAGCACTCCAATGGTCCCTTTTTTGTGAGTTTTAGCTTGCTTAATTAACAATAATAATAAAAGGCAATAAAAATAATAGAATATACAGAAATATGTACTGTAGTTTCAAATAATTTTCGACAGAGTTTTGCATGTCGCACTGCAGGATACATGTGTTATGCCAGCAGAATAGGCCTTAAACTAAACAATGGATTGTGTGTTAGTGGTATGGCCAGTTGTCAAAACAAATTAGCGCTGCTTTCATTTGGGAAGTTCACGCAGGTGTCTCTTTGTGTCTGAGAATCATTCATTTTTACACAGTGCATGGCTGCAGCTACAATAAATCAACAGTGTTTTGGTTACAAATAATAAATAATATTAATAATACATGCATGCATGTCAATGCAATAAAATAAAAATTAATACTTTTCTAGTCATCTTTAAAATGATTGGCATGTCTCTATAATCCATTCCACTGAGGAAGCTTAGTAATCACTGATGACATCATTATCATAATCATCATCAACATTGTCCTCATGATTAGTGTTTACTCCACCGTGGGGAGCAGAAATGTTTGATTGGGTCTATAAGCTGCTATGATCTGATCCAGACGTGTGTTGTTGGACTGAAAGACACTTGCTTGTAACCTTTCAAATCTCACCCACAAACAACAAAATGATGTTCATTTGTTGTCATGTTTGCTGTTTTTAAAGAGTGTTTGAAGCACTCGTCCAGTCCGCTGCCAGTGAGAGTGACTGGCCTGTGTGCCAATCTGTTTTGCTATATGGATTATCTGTGTAGGTTTCATCTGAATTATATTAAGTAATGATTTAACCCTTCCAGGTTGTAAAGACGAATGCAGTTGATGTAAAAAGCCTGCTGATTTGTTCTGCCAAATTGTGAGTAAAACTCATTCATTTGGTAAATATTTATATGTATTGATTGAAATATTAATTCGTTTGTTACTCTCTCATAGATTGTGTCTCAATTTTATTCAGTGGTTAACAGTCGGTATAGGCCTACTTTTTAAAGAGCAATATCCCATGACCTTTTCTGAATGATTTCTTATTATTTTTTGTTACTATAATTATTAATTTCAGAGGTATATAACTATGTTAGAGGAGACTGAACCAGCTGTGCATCAAACTGGTAAGGTGAACAAATTTATTTCAACTGCGACCTACAGGAATATCCTGAATTTAAAAACAAAAACAAAAAAAGCAAATTAGTTTCTATGCTGACAGCATCAGTAACTGTTTTGTTAATTTCATACGCTTTGTCATTTTTCCGAGGTGACGACTAAAAAAAACCCGACTAATTCGTTTCTTTTTCATTCGCATTCATGTTATTAAATGCCTATAGGCCTATATAGTTGTCAGTCAGATACAATGGGCGGGATTTATGGTAATTGAGAATGAACGTGCACGCGCGTCCCATTTACGACTCATTGGAATTCATTAACACACACACACACACACACACACACATTTCACTATTGCATCTGACGTTTACGAAGTATTTGTGAATCAGGAGAGTTTTCGGGAAGGTCTCTTCACGCGCAAATCACTCTCATATTTACTCGTATAAGAATATTTAATGAATGCCATTGCACCATTTTAGCAGAGAATAGATCAATCATTTGCAGTTTATGGAAGTTAAACAGTTTCTGTGTGTTTGTGTCCTGATAAGTCAGTTTTTTATGTATATTTTTAGTAATTAGGGGTGGTTATGGCACAGTGGAAAGGACACATGCCTTTGGTGTGAGAGACCCAAGATCGAATCCACTGTGAAACATCAATGTGTCCCTGAGTAAGACACGTAAGAGGCGGTGTTTTCTGATTTACAGGGTAACAAAAAGAAATATTCATAATCCCTCTGGTAATGTCTTTTCATTGAATATATCAACAAAATGCTAAAATAATTTTGAACCTTGTTTTTTTTTTTTCAATGGTCAGATTCGTCACTTCAAAATATATGCAAATTGGTGCATATTGAATTAGATAAGATTAGTAAAGTTTCATGGTAATATCTGTAAGTTAAAATTTTTACCCTATTAACCTGTAGTGGTGTCTCAAGACCCAATTGGCGGCCATCTTGAATTTGAAGGTCACAAATAGGTAAAATCAATAAATCTACATAATTTATCAATTTCTTGACCCATAAATAGTCTCAGAAACCTTGTATTGTGCAGCACTGTGGGCAAAACCATTAAAAAGTTAACTTCCAGCTTGGCAGACGGCAGCCATTTTGGATATCGGGCTCTCACAAAATTTCCATTTTGTGAGGGGCACCCCGGCTCATTTGTTTCTTTAACCTTTATAGACAAATCCAGTGAGAAACGAACCTTCGCTCTCCATGGTCACGGAACTGCTATACATAGATGACCAAACTATAACCCCTAGTTGCTCCAGAGGTGTGCGACCTATATAGCAATTGTAAATCCCTTTGGATAAAAGCATCAGTTAAATGAATAAATTTAGGTAATGTAAACGTATAATCTTTCATTTGCCGGACAGAAGAGTAAAAGTAAGCACCTGGCGTCTTCATTTTGATTTGTGCTTTTAATTTAAGAAACTGCATCATAAATTGCTGTGTTATATGACATAAAACCATTTTATCACTTGTGCGTATCCCATTCCTTTCTCATTATTGTCAGATTAAACCTTAAATAGTATCCTAATAAAACACTCACTGTCACCATTAAACGTTATTAAATCCTATTTGTATGGAAGTGTTAGACAGTAATTTACTCTAATGTGTACGCTTTGGTTAAAGTGACGGGACAGTAACAGTAAATCTAAACGTCAGAGGAAAACTGAACTTGAAAGCATCAGACCCGGTTCCCTAAATCTGCGGTGGTTGAAGGACTGTTCTGATTGGGTCGAAAAAAGCCAGCTAAATATCATCAAAGCAAACAATTTTTCAACTAAAACGAATCATTTTCTTGTTGCAATTTCAAAGGCATATTTTTCTGTCACTGTTAATATTGCTATTATACTAATATATTTAGCTTGTTAGTTTGATGTGTTAGACTGGTAACTTCTGCTGACATTTATCCATTTTTAAAAAATGATCATAATCCCCTTTGTGATATTATTTTGGAGATATGAAGAGTTCAGATGCAAAAGCCTCTAAATGCCATTTGAAATTTTCTTCTAAAATGACCATTTTTATCAAACTTGTATATGTAAGTTCAGTAATTTCACTTAAATGACAATTAATAGGTAATCTTTATTGCCATTTAAGTGAAATTACTGAACTTAAATATACAAGCTTGATAAAAATTATCATTTTAGAAGAAAATTTCAAATGGCACTTAGAGGCTTTTGCATCTGAACTCTTCATATATTGTTGAGGTTATGCCATGCATGAAAACACTGTGATAATCACATCGAAACCTCCAGCTGTAAATAATGGTGAAGTGTGTTTGTGTGTGTTTGATCACAGATGGAGACGGAAGCGGTGCAGCTGCCGCGTGCATCTGCCATGTCTACTCTTACGGAGATTGGTTTTGGCTCAGCCGGGGCAGTTATACGACAGCAGGAGGGCATTATGGGTAAATGGTCATGTGGTGTGATCTGTTACATCAACATCTTTCACAGTGAGGGTGTTTGTTTACCTCTGTGTCACGGTGTAGATTTTGATTAGAGGTTTACACACACACACCATGTCTTACCCATCAGCTTACTCATCTACCCGCATGATTAATTCATTATAATATTGATTTCAAACTTCAGTTAATTAAAACAGGGTTATGTACATGATAAATAAAGGGAGAAGTGGTTGAGCTTTCAAAGGGGATTTTAAGAAAATATTCAATCACAATCTGTTGATGTTTATCTTATGCAAAAAAAAAACTCAATTTCATTGGAATTCATAACTATTTTACATTTTGGTGGCTAGTTCATATACAGTACGATCCCATTTGCACGTTTTCATATATGATCTGTTTAGGGGTGGCATTTAATGCTTTATTTCTAGAAATTGTACATTTGTGAAATACATTCATATTAAATCACGACCTTGTAAAATAGTTATATTTTCTCATGAGATTGAGTTGTAGGCAAATCATATTGTCATTTTTACTGTGTTGGATCATTTAAAAGTTTTTTTTTGTGATAGAAAGCAGTTTCAAACACTTCAAGCAGGTTATTGTTGTTTAGCAAAAAGTGACTTTACACCATCCTTTTTTAAACTCATTGTATTAAATATATATATATATATATATATATATATTTTTTTTTTTTTTTTTTACTTCTCCAGTCATCCACAAACGACTCAGGGACAAAAGCATTGAAACTCACAGAAACTGTCTAAATCGAGTTTCTTTATATTTCAATATAAATATATCTTTTATTATTCGATATTTCTTATATTCTATATTTCTTATTATAATACTTTTCATTTTATGAAAAACGTAAGTGCAAAGTTGAATATTGCAGATTTTTGCCTAATTTTAGGCTATTAATTATAAAAAGGAAATGTTGGCTATACTTTCAATTGTTTCAAAGGCACTTGTCTCCCTCTATTGGTAGCCTATCTGATTTGAAGGTCTACAGCATTCTGCTCTCTACCTTCTTGGCAAAATCTTCATACTTCCACAACAAGATCAACGCCGCTCCTAAAACACGAATGCTTTTCAAAACATTCAACTCTCTCCTCTGTCCACCCCCACCACCACCCACCTCCTCGCTAACCGCTGATGATTTTGCTAATTTCTTCACTATAACAAAACAACAACTATCAGCAGTCAGTTCTCTAATCCGCACACACAGGAACCTAGAGCAAGCACTCCCACAGCCAGTAACCTTCTCTCCTCCTTCTCTCCACTAACCGAGGAAGAAATTTCTAAATTACTCCTCTCCAGTCATCCTATCACCTGCCCTCTGTACCCCATCCCCTCACACCTTCTACAAGCCATCTCTCTCCCACACTTCTACCGGCTCTCACACACGGCTCTTCCCTACAAACTGGCATTTTAGTTTAGTTTTGTTTAGCACGTTTAGTACAAGTACAGAACAATGCAAGGAAGGAACGAAGCCAGTCTAGGCTTGTACAGAGTTCCACTCCTATCCTTATTAACTCACAAGATGCAGACTAAACGTCAAAGAAGAAGAAGGGGGGAAAAATACAAAAAATAAATAAATAAACAACAAACGATAAAAAGCAATTCAAACAAATAATACTTAGAAAAATCTACATAAAGGCATGAAGCTAGCAATAGTAAACTATTGGAGTTAAATTAACGGGTAAATTACCGGGTATGTCCCTCTTTGGCTAATGTACTTTCAAGATGGAGGGGCAACATGGCGACCGACATTAGAACCCCTTACCCGTATGTATTTTCAATGGCATATTATACACTCACGACAATGCTTTATTACTTGAACGAAGTAAATATACATTAATGAGCACATATAAATTTTTGAAAGAACTAAGTGTTTTTAGCTAAGAATAAACTAAACGCGTTACACACTGCAGCTTTAAAGCCTATGCAATATCAACAGGGTTAGAGAGAACCCCCTTCTCAACGTTCATTACTACAGAGGCAGTAAATGGGGATTTAGTGCAGTTCAATAAATGATTAATGAGGTGCCATGTTGTCTTAATATTACTAGAAGCTTGTACAAATTGATTTTCCCTACAGCATTTAAGCAGGCGTGGGTAACTCCACTGCTTAAAAAATCAACGCTAGACATCACTCTTAGAGAATTGCAGACCTGTCTCTCTCCTACCATTCATTGGGAAAACACTTGAACGAGTTGCTTTCAACCAAGTATCATCTTTCCTGTCTCTGAACAACCAGCTGGATGTCAACCAATCAGGCTTCAAGAAAGGCCATTAAACCGAGACTGCATTGCTGTCAGTCACAGAAGCCCTGCGGATCGCAAAAGCTGCTTCCAAATCATCAGTCCTTATCCTCCCGGACTTTCTTCGACACTGTGAATCATCAGATCCTGTCCAATCTTTCATCACTGGGCATCACTGGAACTTCCCTCCACTGGTTTGAGTCCTATCTCACAGGTAAAGTCCTTCAGGGTCACATGGAAAGGTGAGGTATCCAAAGCACATCAACTGACCACAGGGGTTCCCCAGGGTTCTGTTCTTGGACCGCTCCTCTTCTCCATTTACACTACATCACTGGGACCCATCATACCGGCACATGGTTTCTCTTACCATTGCTATGCTGATGACACCCAGCTCTACCTCTCATTTCAACCAGATGATCCCCACAGTAGCTGCACGTATCTCAAGCTGTCTGGCGGACATCTCGGCATAGATGAAGGAACATCACCTGCAGCTCAACCTGGCTGAGACTAAACTTCTCGTCCTCCCTGCCAATCCGTCTCTACAGCACGACTTCACTATCCAGCAAGATTCTTCTTCAATCACCCCTTCAAGATCGGTCAGGAATCTTGGAGTAATCTTTGATGACCAGCTGACCTTAGACCACATTACAAAGACAGCTCGATCATGCAGGTTTGCAATGCACAACATCAGGAAGATCAAGCCTTTCCTAACCGAGCAGGCGACACAGCTTCTTGTCCAGGCCCTTGTTATTCAGCCCATTCTCACCCCCAAGGCGTCACTTAACTGACGCCTTGGGAAGAATTTGGACATGCTTCAATATCTGACGCTTTAGGCGCCCTTTAGCGTCAGTTAGATGACGCCCTAGGATCGCGTGTACCCTACCCCCACCACACACCTAAACCTAACCGCGTCCTCTAACAGACGCTTTCCTTTAGCGTCAGTTAGATGACGCCGTAGGATCGCGTCATGTAAGTGACGCTAAAGGGCGCCTAAAACGTCAAATATTGAAGCATGGTCAAAGGTGACGCCTTGGGGTGAGAATGCGTTGTGTTATTTCTAGGCTTGATTACTGCAATGCTCTTTTGGCTGGCCTTCCATCACAGCCCATTCTCACCCCAAGGCGTCACCTAACTGACGCCTTGGGAAGCATTTGACCATGCTTCAATCTGACGCTTTAGGCGCCCTTTAGCGTCAGTCAGATGACGCCCTAGGATCGCGTGTACCCTACCCCCACCCCAGACCTAAACCTAACCGCGTCCTCTAACTGACGCTTTCCTTTAGCGTCAGATAGATGACACTGAAGGATCGCGTCATGTAAGTGACGCTAAAGGGCGCCTAAAACGTCAAATATTGAAGCATGGTCAAAGGTGACGCCTTGGGGTGAGAATGCGTTGTCCATCATGTGCAACTAAACCTTTACAAATGATCCAGAAGGCTGCTGCTTGTCTTGTCTCCAACGAGCCCAAAAGGGCCCATGTCACTCCTCTGTTCTCTCTCTGCACTGGCTGCCACTCGCTGCTCGTATCAAGTTCAAGGCGTTGACTCTTGCTTACAGATCGACTACTGGCTCAGCTCCCTCTTACTTTCACTCGCTCCTACGAGTCTACATCCCTACCAGAAGCCTATGATCGATCAATGAGCGACGGCTCGTGGTACAGTACCATCACAAAGAGCCACAAAATCACTCTCTAACATTCTCATTCACGGTTCCATGCTGGTGGAATGATCTGCCCATCGTCATCCGGAACGCAGAATCCCTGTCAGCATTCAAAAGACAACTGAAACTCATCTCTTCCGTGAGCACTTAATATAAAAAATTGATAAATAAATAAATAAACTTTAAATCCCTACTTGTCTAGTTTATGCTACTATGAGCAATGTTTGAACTTTGTATTTTGAGCACTTCTTGTGTTGTTATTGCCTGTTCACGATGACTTGTTTGATTTAGTCCTCAGGTGTAAGTCGCTTTGGATAAAAGCGTCTGCTAAATGACAAAATGTAAATGTAAATTAACAATATGATCAAGATTCTTTGATCTGAACACAAAAATATTATCTGAAAATGTAGTTAAGTTTTACGCACTATTTGGGCAAATCTGAGCACAGTTTGAGACATTGTTGAGATCTCCAGGAGAGGAGACACATGTGAGAGATAACTGGGGTCATCTAAGACTGATCATAACTAGTCATACATAAAAGCCAGTGGTGTCAAATCAATGTATTGCGTCTAAAATGCGAACAAGAGTTTCTGTTTACCACAACTGATGTGAGAGTTGATGAATGTTTATATGAATATAAGCCTTATTTCAAAGTTTATCATTTAAAGTGATCGAGTCTCTTCAGAAAATTTGGATTAACTCGCCCAATTCATATGGATTAGTTTTACAATCTATTTATGAACTTTTTGAAGCGACAAAGCGATAGTTGCGTAGCTGTCAATGGAGGGACAGAACCTCTCAGATTTCATCAAAAACATCTTCATTTGTTGTTTTGAAGATGAACGAACGTTTTACGGGTTTGAAACGACATGAGAGTTCATGAGTTTCATTTTCGGGTGAACTATCTCTTTAATATCGCATACTAAATCTAAATCGTAACATCGCAATTTAATCTAAATGAACTGAGCTCAGCCGGTAGGATATATAATTTTTTTAAAAGACAACATCACAAAATTAAATTCAACAATTAATCTGAATATCTCTCAGGCTCTAAATGTCCTTTCAAACTGCCCTTTCCATTTCATCTCTCATGATGACACTCGTCTTCAACATCTCAGTCACCAACATCGGTCATCATCCCATGTGTCATTTAAACCCTTGCGGATATACAGTAGCCCTACGTGGCAATTTCAATCCCACAGTTGTACCGCAGTCTTCCCCGGTTCACTAACCACATTTTATCTCCACTTAATTGTGTATTATTATAAAATATGTCTAAAGATCTATAAAAAGAGGTCGTGCCAGCTGTCTCTGCTCTTCACCATCTCATCCTTAACAGAAACGAATGTGTTCAATAACCTCTGAGAAAGTTTAGCTCTCATTATTCCCTCATAAAAAACTAGTAAACGTATAAACCCCCAAATTAGAGTCAATCGTGATGCTTGGAAACGCATGTGGCTGTGATTCACTGCAGTTGGAGAGATAGAGTTTAAGTCGTGTCTGTAAAAGAGAAACGAGAGCATGATTTGAATCCTCTGTTCCTGTACTCATCTTCACACTAAACTACTCATGGACGATTAAAAAGACACTTTTTAAACGTGCATACACGTCATTAGGCATACAGGCTTTATTGAGAGGTTTTATTTGGGTTTTTCAAACTGGGGCCGGGAACCGATCATTTTGGGGGGTTCACGGATCTAAAAGATTGAAAACCCCAGTATAGGACCCGGCTTATGTGGAAACGAGCAAAATCCAAAATCATGACTGAATTTGTGTTTTCATGATGCTCACTTGGCCTATGCTTTTGTCAAATGCAGAGAAATGGGATTTGGTTTCAAAGTGCTTGATTATTGATCAATTAAATTCTCTGCACTTCCTCAATACATGACTTCTCAGCGCCCGCTACTGGTGGACAAAAGATACTGCATGTGGAAAATTGGGCTTTTCCCCCAAAAAACATTCTTGACTTTTATATTAATTTTGTGTGTATTATAAACACGATAGATGAACAAGCAGTACTAGAGCTAAAGAGGATAACAAAGATTTTCAGTGGAAAAAGACTTACCTGTTATTCGGTTTCTCACAAAAACCTGTTATTCGGTTTCTCCCACCTTACATATACCTAAACCTACCCATCTCCACCCAATGATCCCTAAGCCCACCCCTAATCCTACCCATCTCCACCCAATGATCCCTAACCCCACCCCTAATCCTAACCATCTCCACCCAATGATCCCTAACCCCACCCCTAATCCTACCCATCTCCACCCAATGATCCCTAACCCCACCCCTAATCCTACCCATCTCCACCCAATGATCCCTAACCCCACCCCTAATCCTACCCATCTCCACCCAATGATCCCTAACCCCACCCCTAATCCTACCCATCTCCACCCAATGATCCCTAACCCCACCCCTAATCCTAACCATCTCCACCCAATGATCCCTAACCCCACCCCTAATCCTATTCATCTCTACCCAATGATCCCTAACCCCACCCCTTATCCTACCCATCTCCACCCAATGATCCCTAACCCCACCCCTAATCCTACCCATCTCCACCCAATGATCCCTAACCCCACCCCTAATCCTATCCATCTCCACCCAATGATCCCTAACCCCTCCCCTAATCCTACCCATCTCCACCCAATGATCCCTAACCCCACCCCTAATCCTATGCATCTCCACCCCCTGATGCCTAACCACACCCCTAATCCTATCCATCTCCACCCCTGATCCGTAACCCCACCCCTAATCCTAGCCATCTCCGCCCCCTGATCTCTAGCCCCATCCCTAATCCTACCCATCTCCGCCCCCTGATCCCTAACCCCACCCCTAATTTTACCCATCTCCGCCCCCTGATCCCTAACCCCACCCCTAATCCTACCCATCTCCGCCCCTGATCCCTAGCCCCAACGCTAATCCTATCCATCTCCGCCCCCTGATCCCTAACCCCACCCTAATTTTACCCATCTCCGCCCCCTGATCCCTAACCCCACCCCTAATCCTACCCATCTCCACCCACTGATGCCTAACCTAACCCTATACCACCCCTAATCCAACCCATCTCCACCCAATGATCCCTAACCCCACCCCTAATCCTAGCCATCTCCGCCCCTTGATCCCTGATACCACCCCTAATCTTACCCATCTCCGCCCCCTGATCCCTAACACCATCCCTAATCCTACCCATCTCCACCCCTAAGATCTGGATCCAACTCCGCCCCCTGGATCTCGTGTACTGCAATGAGGTGCTACACTGCAAGACTTATATGGATCACTTTTTATAACACTTAAACCACGACACTACGTGACAGTGACACTTCCATTGCATGGAAAACACCAGGTTTACCAAGCTAACGTCCTCATCCTTTTGTTTTCCACAGACAAAATAACATCACATGTCTTGAACAATATAAGATTGAGTAGATTAAGCCAGAACTTAATTTTTGGGTGAACTTTTACCATAGTCTTACTACACTAACTTTTCTTATTTGAAGATGTTTATTGCTGTACTAGTATTATTCTGAATGTGTTGCAATGTGGTAGCTACGTCTCTCATATATGACTCTAGTCCTTTCAGGTCCAGTTTTAACATCCGCCATGAGAAAATTAAACTTGCTTTGAGTAATAGCAGACCTCTTGATTTAAAGTACTCGTAGCACAAATGGTTGGATTGGTTTTGTGCCAGTATTAAATTTGGGGTTGTTTAAATCCTTATTTAAGTGTGTGAGCAAAAGCGATGTTTGTGGTGTGTGTGTTAGAAAAGAGTTTGGCTAATTCTTAGTTACTAAATAGTCCATAGAAACCATAATCATGATATTTACTACTGTCATTCATGCTTGTGTTTGTATGACCACCCATAATCTCCTTTCCCTTTGATACACACTCTTTCCTTCCTCATTGATTTATTAGCTATCGCAACAATATCAAACAAGTGAGTAAACTAAAATCAACCGGCTTACCACCAATTTAGGAAGTCAACACTGTTAATCATATTTATATATTTTAGCATGAGTGCACATGTGTCACATCAAGTGTAGGAAACCTTGGCAAATAGCTAATGAAAAAGCAAATAGTAATGCCAATAAAACTGACTTTATGAGTGGTGACGTGTTATGATCAATGATTTTGGGGGTACAAAAAGGATGG